GCGGTCGAAAGGGGCGGTGTTGCCGCCGCACAGAAAGCGCTGACAGAAAAGGAGCATGAGTTGGTCGAAAGTAAACAGCGCGAGGCGGCAAGCACCGCTGAGTGCAGCATGGCTCAGGAGCTCGCGCGCGAGAGCACCGAGGCGCTAAAGGAGGAGAAGGCTAAGAGAGCAGAGGCAGAGCGGTCGCAGCAAGAGGCAGAGCGGAGGAAGCAAGAGGCTGAACGAGACAAGGCGAAGGCGGAGGCGGTGGGCGTAGATGATGGGTGCTTCCTCGCTGCTGCTGTTTTTTTCGCCAGCAGCAGGAGGAGCACTGCTTCCTCCAGCAGGAGGAGTCCGCGCGGTCCCACCGCCCGGCGGCTGTTCGAGTGAGCCACCAGGCATGTTTGCTAGGTTGCGGACGGCGCTAGGGTGCCGCTAGGGTGCCGTGTGCAACCTCCACGGCACGGCGGAACGCGTTCACACACGCTTCGCGCTCGCGGGGCGTCAGGTGTTTTTTGGTTCTGGCGGGGTTCTTCGGAACGTTCGATGTGATTTTTTTGGCTCGAGCGATTTTCCATCTGGAAGATCCAGGACACTTTTCGAAAATTTTTCCTATAGGAAATTTGACCGATTGGCACCCCTAACTGTTTCCGTGTTTGCTATGTGTGATTGAAGAAAATTCCCCAGCACCAACAGCAGCAGTTGAAGACAAGAGCACAACGCAATGTCTAGTTTTGGACCAAGAACGGACTGAACGCCGCTTCTGCCGCTTGTCCATCTCCACAACAGAGCTGGACGTGAAACTGGCAGGTCTTTCTAGCGTTCTCAGTGATGTTACAGCGCCCGCGGTGCGCTTGTCCGATGCTTCTGTCAAAAACACGGGTCCGTGAAAGTATAGTCCCCAAAATTCCGGCTCCTTCTTTACACGTTTTCGGGGAAAAACGCCTCCATATTCGTTCAAGAACACACGCTTCCTTGAAATGCTCCGTGATTTTGTGGTCGTCAATATTACCCCTTAGCAACGCCGTTTTAGCACTGGTTCTACAGCAGTGAAACAGGTTGACTGAGGTACAGCAGGGCAGAGCCGAACTTGTTTCTTGTGCTCAATGCTCCGGAACTGGTCTGTGAGGTTTGCTTTGACTCCTGGGTTATCTTTCGGGCTGTTCGTGACGTGGATTATGGATTATGTAATCCTCACGAGAGCTACTGCTGTAGTACTCATATGTGGTTTGGACCTATGGAATTGTGCGACTGCAATCGACCGCCCAGCGGGTGCGGATCTTCGGGGTAATCCCTGCGTATCTTTAGCAAACTGTGATGTGTTCCGAGTTATGGATGCATCTTTGCGGCGGTGGATTTATTGCGACTGGGTACTGGTGTGCGGCACGGGAGCTTGCCCCCCGCTGCCACTCTCTTCTGTGCGCTTGTCTACGTGGGACGACCTAATTAAACGACTTTACCATCTATCCAATCCTGTCAACTGGGTCAGCCGTGCTTGTACAGCAGCACTGGGCTTGGGACCAATCAACACTCTAGAGCAACGGTTATCTTCATTTCCTAGTGAGACCGACAGATGTCGACAGGAGAAGCTGGAGTTCCTGGCACGGGCGGGACCGCCCCTACTCGTGATGAGGTCAAGACGGCTATCGACAAAGCCGTCGGCGACGCCAGCACCAGACTGGAGAAGATGATGGCGGAGAAGATGGAAGGATTCATGGACGCCCTGTCTCGGTTAGTGCCCGAGACACCGCCCGCCGCAGGTACGGCTGCGGGTGGCGGAGGAGAGTCACGGGAGGGGATGCACGCCTCTCCTGGCGCCGGTCGGGAGGACCAGGCGCCGAACACTGGACGAGGAGTCGAGGGAGCGAGAGGAGGACTGCTGGGGCCGGTGCCTCAAGAATCAACGCCGTCTGAGGGGAACGACTCGCGGGATGGAATGAACAGTGAGCACAAGGCACGGTACACCACGACCTCCCACGCTCGAATCCCACGCCTGAAGCTGTTGAACTTCGACGGCCACGAAAAAAACTGGCCGATGTTTCAAAACGAATTTACCACGCAGGTGCAAACTTGCGGGATGACTCGTGCTTTGACTGACAGTAGAGACATCGTGGTCCAAGGGGTAGATGATGAAGGCATGGTAGGGCAGGGGGTGAAGTTTGATGAGATATCGATGTACCGAGACCTGTGGGGTATGTTAACAGGAGCGAT